CAGCTGATGTTAACATATACAAAAGGAGCAAGAATGATAAATGCCTTCAAAGACGACACAAAGCATCAACACAAAAGAATAATGAACTGATTGTCTAGTGCATGATACCCTAAGATTTTGTTAACCTAAACAATTCCCTCTTCTCCAAAAATTAAAGTTTTGTTGTTCTTAATTTTTTCAGGCACTAAATTTGTGATTATCTTATTAGCTCAATTAGAAGCATTTCCAATAGACGTGTGGATAAAAGCAAAGATTGCCTGGTATACTGGATTATTTGAGATACACCTGTCATTTACTGAATTTCAAACCGCAAATACTACCATAATTTTTGGCAAGGAGATTTTAGTGCAAATTTTTCGCAAATTTTTTGGGGTTAATTTTGGATTAAATGGAAATAATTTTTCAGTTTTTGATCCAAATTATGTGAAATAATATAAGAAAAAGGGCTATTTTTTGGAAGGTGATGAAAGTGGACTTTCAAGATGTAACTGACGCCATAAACACAATTCATGTCACAAATGTAACGTAACTAACAGCACATCTGTTGCAAACATGATACATTTCAGCTGACACATACAAAACTATGTCAATTATGATTAATTAATTAAGCTTAAACGACCATGGCGAGAATCAAACGACTGTCTCCGACACTGTCATTACATGCAAAGACATAAATAGCACTGATGCATAATGCTTGGTTCAGGGTTTTTCCAAAGAGTCTATTTCCCAGAGCGTGGGGTGAAATGAGGGACATATGCACTGACTGGAAAGTACAAATGACCAAAGAGGTTACAGTTCACATTTTTTGGTCGAAATTAGATTTACTACAAAGTTGGGTAGAGCCATTATACAAATGCATCGTAAGAAACGGTTCGCTTCCTAAACCCTCTGGACATACAAAAGATTAAACCTCCTCGGGACAAACGTAAGTGATAAAATCAATCCAGGGTGACCCAATTCAACTGTACATGTAGAAACTCACCTCGCACTTGGACATGCATGTAGAAAGGTTCTTGTATAAACCCTGGCACGGTTTCATGCACTGTAAATAAAATACAATATAGAATCAGAATATGTTCGCTTCAGTAGGTACTTGGTCCCTAAAGTCGTCATCTTTTACGAAAAGCACACGCCACTCATGAAGGCAAATAGTAAACATATGCTACTCATTGGCCTTTGTGACTATTCATTTAAACTGGTGGCCATTATTTAATTTCTCTGTACTCACTTTGTTTCAAAATTAACAACATATGAATATATCTAAACTAAAGTGAATGAAAACTGTAGTTTTCAGAAATCAAATAGTAAATAGTAGTGAATTTGCCATGATTACCAGTACAAAATTTCTATGAAAAATAAAACTGACGTAATCATAAAACAACTATAATATCATGTGAAACATATTTAATGTGGGCAATACGTGCAGAGACTTCAACTTGCTGTTGGTTTTGAGTGATGTGTTGTGAAACACAGGAAAGTTCATTGCCAGTGATAAATACTAAATACGGCTGTCGTTATTCTAGTTTTTGTTTACTCGTTTGTTTGTCTGAATCACATATTCATGAATAATTATATTACGTAATGACGTAAATCAAAACATTTATTGGAAAGCATCAAAGCATTGGAAATATTGGCCTCACTGGGTACTATTTTGATTTATTTAAATAAAGTTTGAAATATACCGGGGTACTAGCACATGATATCCCTTGTAAAAGGTCTTTTAAAAATAAAAGGGAATTATATTTATGGATGTCTGAAGCCCTTTGTGCTTTGAAATTACGGTCGTTGTAGTGTTGAAACCCATAAGCTTCTAACAGTAAATAGCCAAGTGGTGCAGTTTTTAGAAAAGCACATAAACCAAAAATTAGATTTATTATTAGCCTCATCATTAATTAATACAACACTAATTTTTTTTACCATAGACCACTGTCATGTGCTTCTAATAGAGAAAATGCAGTAATCTTTTTAATTATTTCAACAGATTGGGAAAAGTGTCTCTACCAGCAGATATTGGAGATGTACAGTGCAAATCTATATATAGTATGCACTTAAGGTCAGTCGTGGGCTCACAAAAAAAAAAGAAAAGAAAAAAAAATTATCACATTTTTTTTTGTTTTAAAAATGTTACATAATTTTATTTTATTTTGACTTGTTGGAACTATTTTTATAGGAATTCATGTTAAAACATTATTTCTGAAAAAATGAAAACTATTTTTTAGAATTTCCCAATAATTACCGATAGGTTCAATCATGAGTGCCCATCTTATAAATACTTATATTTTTTTTTTCATCATACACGTATGCACCCAACCTAACTTTTTATTAGTTATGATAAAAAATTTTACCATAGAAACCATTGGTAAATTTCAATGGTGCTTGACAATTTTTTGTATGCAAAAAGTAGTATGACTATACTTTTTTTATCTGGAATTTTTAACAGCATAAAAAAAA